GTCGTAGTTGTAGGTGGCTGAGTAGTTGTGGTCTTAACCAAGGGTTTTGATGTGACAATGGTGGATTCCTGGCTGGTCTGTGTGATTACTGGCACTGTTGTTGTGGTTTCAACAACAGTTGCTGTCGAAGTTGTCACTGGTCCAGTGGTGACTACTTTGGGAGGTTTTGTCGTCTCAACCTTGACTGTTGTTTCTTCTGGGGTGGTTGTTTCCGCAAGTTTTGTTGTGGTTCCTATAGTAGTCGTTGTAGGTGGCTGAGTAGTCGTGGTCGTCACCAAGGGTGTCGATGTGACAATGGTGGATTCCAGGCTGGTCTGTGTAGTTGGTGGTACTGTTGTTGTAGTTTCAACAACAGCTGTCGTCGAGGTTGTCATTTGTCCAGTGGTGACTACTTTTGGAGGTTTTGTTGACTCAACCTTGACTGTTGTTCCTTCTGGGGTGGTTGTATCGGCAGGTTTTGTTGTGGTTCCTATAGTAGTAGGTGTCGGTGGCTGAGTAATTGTGGTAGTCACCAAGGGTGTCGATGTGACAATGGTGGATTCCTGGCTGGTCTGTGTGATTACTGGCACTGTTGTAATTTCAACAACATTGGTCGTAGTTTTTTTCATTGGTCCCGTAGTGAGTATTGTTGGAGGTTTTGTTGACTCCACTTTGAATGTTGTTTTCTCTGGGGTAGTTGTTTCAACACGTGTCGTTTCAGAAACAGTTTGTGTTGTCAGTCTAGATTTCGTTGTTCCAGGTTGTGTTGGTGTTGGCTCTGAAGTTGTCAGTTTAGTAGTATTTGATGTGATTGCAGTTGTGGTTTTTATTGTTGATTCCATGCCTAGACATGATAAAAATTAGACATTTAGTGAACGCATGTACATTGTAGAAAATTAAATATATTCCATTAGGTATGAGTTATGACACAATATTTTTGCCATCAATACCTGAAGTTGTTGTCCCAACTGTGCTAAACGTAAAGGGGATTGTTGTAGGGCTGGTGGTAGTCGAAGTTAAGCATGCGTAGATGATTCTAGTAATGTTTCCATTGGGCCCGCACTCAGCTGTGATGCAGTTTCCTAGCCCATCTGTTGTGTTGTAGATGGTTTCCCCATAGTTGTATGATTTTCCTTCAACCGTGCATGCACAAGCTGCAGATTGAGATGATCATTTTAGCAACAACATAGATTTTATGCATCTCTTGCTTCTGACGAACATGTGTATCTTGGCTTTCTTGAGTTTTCAATGACCCCAGCAACTTTTAATCTTTTGTGATGAAGAAACTACAGATTGTGTCAGAGAAGTCAATAAATGTTGTGGAACTGCACCAATTCTGTAAAGCTGAGGGGTCAAAGACACGACCAGGAGCTTGCTACAAGTTTGTGGATTGCTACCCAGTTGAGGTGAAAATTAAATTCACAATTAACACTGCTGTTTGTGTAATTTTGACCAAGCAGGTTTTTTTTTTTTTTTTTTTTTTTTTTTTT